AGCACAGACCCTGCTTCAGCACAGGGTAGTGCTCCCAAAGGTGCCCTCGTCAGACCCTGGCACTCACCACTGCTCCACCGTGCCCCAGCCAGACCCATGGACATCCCTGTGGTATTGAAAAAAATGGCAGCACAACACTCAGGATTTGACCAGGGCTCAGCCCATCCCTCACAAATGCACTCCAGCACAAGGAGAAGTTGGCAACACTCACCTAGCTCTGCCCAGCTGCCCCACACCAGGCTCATGGTACACTGTGCCCCAGGTCCAGGCAATGCCTGGAACCTCAGAGCACCCCCAGCAATGTGTTGCTAGTGCCACCAGCCTTCTCCAGACACCATTTGTTTAAATAGCAATGGTAGAGTTTGGTCTCCCCAACTTGGTGTAAGCAGTGCCCAGCGCATCCTACCCGGCACAGGACATCCCATCTGGCCAATGGGTGTCCGGGCAGGACCCTCCCAAGGTGACACTCAGAGCAGTGGCTGAGCACTGGCAGTGCCCATGGTGGGCTGAGCACAGGGCAGGCTCTGTGGCTCCACCAACAGCTCATCTCTGGGAAGGGGAGAGGATGGAGGAGGAGGAGGAAAGAAGAAACAGCAACAGGGCAAAGAGCATCCCCAGAGTGACTGCAAGCTGTGAGGATGAAGCAGCCATGTGGGCTGAGCATCTTGTGGCTCCTGCTACCACCCCTGCACACGCTCCCCTTACCTGGGCTTTTTAACAAGCTCATCCTCACCATCCTCCACTGAATGCAACAGGAGAGAAAGGGGAAGATGGAGTCAGTCTGCGGCAACTGAGGCCCAGAGACAAAAGAAATGGAAAAGGAACAGGAAAGGGAAAACGCCCTCTCGTCCAGCCACCCACCTGCCCCATTGCACAGGCCTGCCCAGCCATGGGGCAGAGCACAGCCCCAGACCAGCGGCACCACCACGAGCCCACGCACAGCCCTGGGTAGCTCCCACTGGCTCAGCTGGCCCACAGGGGCCACACAGGGCCAAAACCAACACTCAAGTGCCACAATGCACCACAGCGTTTTTCCAGCTCCAGTTGCCCTGGCAAAGCTGGGCAGCCAGCCAGTGCCAGGCCACGTGGGAACTCACTGCTGTCTGCGCCCACCAGCCGGGCCAGTTTGCGGAAGGAGCGGGACTGGGAGGTCCAGCTGTGGGGCTGCGAGTCGTCAATGTCCTCTAACATCCGCAGCTTCACAGGGTCACACACGGGGCTGCTGGGGGGCTCCAGCAGCTGAGGGGGCTGCCTGTGAGTGACAGAGTCATCTGTCAAATCTGACAGATCTCATGGCATCACTTCCCTGGGGCAGTCCCACACCTCCCCTGGCAAAGAACCACAGCACATCGGTACTCAAGACACCACACGTTGCCTTACTCCCCACCCCTCTACTCCTCTCCAGTAAAGACCTGGCCCACAAAGGACCGACTTCGGACTGACCACCATTCCTGACAGTGTAATACTGGCCCCAAGGGCCAGAAGGAGAAAGGACAGAGCAAGAATAAGACATGTTCAAAAAACCACCACCAGGAGAGCTGCACCAGAGCCTAGTGACTGCCCATGGCATGCCACCTGCCCCTGGGCAGGGTGCCCAGCACAACCCATCAGCCCTTGTCCGGCTGAGCCACATCTTGGGGAGCAGGGAAGGGATCACGCACAAGGACACTCCAGGGCCCCAGCAGCTGGCAGAGACAGGTAGCACTTGCCCTTCAAGATGGGGACAGCTTGCTGCCAGAAGTGACCCACCCACACAGGCAGAGCAGCACGTGCTGCCCGCCCCCAGGCTGGCCCTGCCCCGGAGAACGGGGCAATAGCAGGGAAGAGGCATGCGGGGAGGATAGAGAGAGCAGGCAAAAGGCTTACTGACTTGTCAAGGCTCAGCACCTGTAGGGAGAGGGAAAGAGAAAGGGAGGAGAGAAAGAAAGAAAAAGGAAGGTGAAATTAGACCTGCAGCACCCAAGAAGTTTCCAGAGCTCACCTGTGGCCTACATTAGTCCCTCTACCCCTGAGACTCACACCTGGCTCTCCCAGGGCTGTGAGCACACTGGGACACAGGGGCAGATGCCAATGGACCAGACTGTGCTCCCTCAACCCCCAGAACAGGCCTGGGTGTCACATCCCACCCCATTGCCCAGTTCCAGGGCACCACAGCAGCTCTCTCAGGAGGGACCAGGAGCTGCCAGACACAGGCAGCTGAGCAGAGCTGGGTGATGATGGTGCTGTGCAGGGCTGGAGGGCTTCACTCTGCTCACCCTATCCCACCAGCCGGGGGACCAGCAGGACATCCCCAGGCAGCCACCATTTCCCTGCTGCTGCAGATGCCAGCCAGTGTCCTGCTACAGTTGCTGTGTCATGCCTTGCAGGACTCCCCACAGGCTGACACGTCCCTGAGCTAGGGATTGACACAAGTGTGGCTGTGTGTCCCTGTGTGCAACAGTCCTGTTGTGCCACCTCAGCACCAGCCACCGGGGACCCCAGCACGGGCACTCTCACCCACTCCCACCCACGGTGTCTGGCATGCAAGGCACAGCAGGGCCGGGCAGCGGGCTCCCCCCAGTCCTCAGGGAGCAGGACGGACAGCAACATACCCATTGTGCTGGGGGGTGCAGGCGGGCGCCAGGGGCGCGTACGTCACAGGTTTCGTCACCAGCCCGGGCTGTGGGTTCGGAGGCGAGCCGGCCCCAAAGGGCCGAGCTGTTTTGTTGAGGGCAGTGCTGGGAGCGAAGTTATATTTCAGGGGTTCAGAGCAGGGGAGTGAGTCCTGAGCGAGACAAAACACACAGACACGGGCTCACACATCAAGCAGCATGCAAAGGGCAGCCCTGGGCCAGGCAGCGCAGCAGGCAGCCAGGTAGGAAAGCTGGACAGCACGTGCACCTTGGACACTGGGCTCTGCCAGGCTGGCAGCTCTCTCCACAGAGCAGCCAGCCCAGTGACAGCAGGTCACAAATCCAGCCTGAGGGTCGTTGGAGGATTAGTAGGTGTCCCAGACACTTGCTGCTGCCCATAGCAGGGCGGTGCACATGCACACACACCCATTGCAACCGTCCCGTGGCACAAAGCTGAACCCATGTAGGTGGCTTCCATCCAGGAGCCACTGGTCACCAGCCCCAGCCCTGCCTCCCTATGCCAGGGCACTCCCCAGCACCAGCAAACACGGTGCTGCACCCGCCCAGTCTCCTCCCCGGCACTGGCCCCTCTGCACCCCTGTCCACACCCGGCACCAGCAGGGGCACAGACAGTCTGGGCCAAGCTGCCTCCTGGGCAGACCCTGTTCCCTCTGATCCTCCACGGTGCCAGAGGTCAGAGCTGCTCGCTCCTCCAGTGGGGTTATCTAGACCTCCAAACACACCCCAGTCCCCTAAAAGCCTGTGAGCCCCAGGAGCAAAATCTATTTATCCATCTACACTCAGAGAGTCCCTTCCCCTGAGAGAAGGCTGAGCTGCCACTGCAGCACCAGGAGCGATACGTACCTTCTGCGGCTTCCCCAGCTGGTTCTGGGCTCTGCAAGAGAGGAGACAGATGGGCAGGTGCTGGAACTGGCCCAGGCACTGCTGGGACGCTGGTACCCCAGGGATGCAACAACCACCCAAGGGGAGCCATGGCCTGCTGGCACTGCCCTGTGGCTCACAGCCAGGCCGAGCCTCATCCAGCCAAGCTGAGCCCTCAGACCCAGCCAGGGGCTGCCCAGCTCTGAGCAAAGAGCAGTGATGCCAGGATATGGAGATGCCGGGAGATGGTCCTGGCTATGCTTTGGCCACACCAGGACCCCATGTTTGCAGGACCCATGATTCCTACCTGCTCAGGGTGAGGCAGAGCCTGTCCCCACACGCACGGATCCTGTTCTGGGCCTCGATGTGTGTCATGGCACTGGTGCTCTCCCCGTCGATGTATAGCACCCAGTCGCCCACTCCCACACCAGCCTGAGCCGCCTTCCCACCTGGAGTCAGCTGCAAGACAGACAGAATCAGGGAGAGCTGGAACAGCCAAGTGCTGGCTCGGGAGCGGAGGGATGTCCTCGTCCTCATGAAGGCAAGGGGTCTGTTGGGGCTCAGGCTCCCAGTCCAGCATAGGTTACCCACACAGGCCTGACCCAGGGGGAGGTGGGAACACCCAGCTCACTCCTCATTTCCCAGTGCATGAGCCCAGAGCAGCTTCTTCCCCTCGGCAGCAGCAGCAGAGGGCAAAGCAGTACTCCAGGGCACTGCCCAGTCCCTGCCCTCTGGCATGGCTGGGGACCTTGCCAGCACCCCGGGGCCTCATCCCCATGATGCCAAATGCGGAGGCGGTGCTGGCTCAGCCTCGGCAGGAAGCCCGGCCACCCCTCAGAGCCATCCCTGTGGTCCCGGGGCAGGAAGGGAGCACAGTGAGTCAGGGCCCTTTGGGCAGCCCACATCTCACTGCAAACCACAGGCATGTCCAGCCCTTCGCCTGGGGCGAGGGGGGGTCAGAGGAGGCACCCCTTGGGCACTCCCCCCAGCCGCCCGCGCTCCATGCTCCCGTCCTGTTCCCAGCAGGCGCAGACATTACCTCATTCCCACAGAGGAGCAGGAGCCCTCCCAAGGCAGGGAGACACCCGCCCCCACCCACGCTGCTCCCCCAGACGTCGCCGCGCCGGGACAGCCGAGAGCACGGCCACGGGTTCTCCTTCCCAGCCACAGTGCCAGGGATGTGCCTTGCCCCCGCTGTGGCTCCACGGCACGGCTCTACGTCAGCCCCGTGCTGGGAAGTGGAAGCTGTCCTGCCCTCCCCTCCCACCAGGGATGCACAGCCAGAGGCGAGCAGGGCCCAGAGCACCGCACACAGCTCCCAGGCACTGACAGACAGACAGACGTGGGCAGGGTGCAGCCATTCCTGCTCCTCCAGCATGGAAGAACTCGAGGCGCTTGGACCCAGACCAAGTATTTCCTCAAGTCCTGTTCGACGTGAACATAAAAGGAGCGAGCCAGATTCCCAGCACTGTCAGAGGGCTGAAAAATTCCTGCCGCTGAGTCCTGGCCCCTCCTTGCCCGTGCACAGAGCCTGGCTCACCCCAGAGCCACATTCCCCTTCCCTACACCGACACTGGCGCTCCACGTGAGGCCAAACTCCATAGCCGGGTTGGATGTGGCTCAGCTCCACCTGCATCCTGCTGCCACCCCTCAGCCCAGTGCCTGCTCCTCCTGCCCAGCACGGGAGGGTGCCCTCGGCAGCAGTGGTGCCGGCTGGCCATGCCGCTGCAAGCCCCAGCTTGCTGCCCCGGAGGGCTGGGGAAGGCACAGGGCGGCTGTGTGGGTTTGCAGGCAGGAGCAGGAGCTGGGAAATGTTTTCACACGGCCGGCCGGGAAGGGGGGAGCACATCAGGCTGCGTCACACAGCCTCACCCAGCCCGGTCAGCACTTTCCGTCCCCCTGAATGCTGGCATGGCAGGAAACCCCTGTGGCAGGTGCCAACTCAGCTGGGAGCTGTGGCAGTGCCAGTCCTCCCACTTCCCACCCAGGCCTGCTAACCTAAACCCAGGGCTTCCTTCCTCCCTTCTCTGCCCAGCCAGTCCTTTGTTCCCTGCACCTCCGTCACCCCACCCAGAGAGATGCCTACCTGCCACCCCTTCCAGGGACCCCCAGGACAGAGCATCACCCAGCATGGTGGGGAGAGGCTGGAAGGTGCATCTCCCAGCACCGTCCTGCCAGCAGAACCAAGGGTCTCCCCTCTTCCCCAGCTGGCAGAGGCTGGGATGTGTCACACAGCACCCAGCTCCCCAGATGGCAGCCCTTGCCCTGGCTCTGCCGCAGGGACCACGGCGTACAGTCTGCCCAGGTGTCAGTACCCCAGCAGAGCCCCTTGCCACGGGAGGTCCATGTGCAGGGGGTCATAGTGGCACTCCTTTTGTGTGTGGCCAGTGAGCTGCAGCAGCCTGACAGCTCACCCAGTAGTGTCACAGTGAGGGACACAGCCAAGAGCCAGAGCACATGCCAGTGCTGCTTTCCCCCTGTGGTCTCTGGCCCCACAGAGGACCCCACTGCAGCCCTCAAAGCTGGGGCAGGATGCTTCCTTCCACCCCGTTCTAGCAGGGCAAGCTCATGGGAAGCGGTGGCCAAGGGCAGCAGTGTGCTCTGGGCAGGAGCTCTGGAGCTGGGAATGTCTCTGGGGTGCAGAGCAGCGCAAGGCTCAACCCCTCCCCTTAGACAGAGCACATCACCCTGCCACAAAGCCTGGTCTTAGCAGAGAACCCCCCAAAGCCGGCTACATCCCCTGGGAATGCCCCCACTGCTCCTGACAGCAGCGCTGCCCGAGCCCCACCAAGTGCTGCTTCACAAGGCCCCTGCCCTAGGCTTTGGGAGGCTCCTCCATCCGACCAGACCCTTTGTTAAGCGCTGGCTTGCAGCCAAGAGAAACATTTTTTAGAGAATAAACTCACTGAGGCCTTCTCTGCGTGCTCAGCAGAGATCAGTGGGCCCTGGGGCGGCGGTGCTGGTGACTCCAGCCTCACATGGTGCCCTCAGGGCCCGTCCTCCCTGCCTGGGTCCTGCAGAGATCTGTGTCCTCTGGGACAGGCATGCAGTGCCGAGCTCGTGCCGGGGACAGGGCCCCACGCAGCGTCCAGTGCCACGAGCAAAGCTGTCCTTCAAGAAGCAGCTTCCGTGCCAGCTGCTCGAGCGCCAGAGGCACAGGCATTGCAGTCACATTCCAAGGCTTATAAGGCAATTTTGTGGCCAGAGCCGTGGCTAGCACCCGCCTGGGGACAGACCTGACCTGGCTGAGCATTGCACCCAGCACAGCTCAAACCAGAGGCCTCAGCCACAACCAGCTGCGGCACAACAGCTCTCCCAGGAGAAATGGGATGGTTTTGTGGAGGGAATCATTTCCCTGTGCAGGCAGCAGTGCAAGCTTCCTCCTCTCCCTGCTCATTTCACGGATGAGCTCAGGCATGGTGTTAGGAGTTGTGCAGTGGAAGGGAGGGTAGAAGGGCACTGGCTGAGTCCTGGGATGCCGATCCCAGCGTTAGGGTGCCGATCAGGAAGGCAGTCCCACATCTCAGAGAGCAGATCCCTTCCCCCTGTGGTGGGCATGCTCCGGAAGGGGCCTCCCCTGCCCCCTCTGCAGAGGCTGTGCAGCATTTCACGTCTCTGCCGCAGTTCTCTGCCCGGAACACCCCCGTGCCGGGCTGCAGCTGATAAGGCACCAAGGAGGCTACGTGGAGCCAAGCAGGGCAGGATGCAGCACTCCCGGGGCCCCAACTCATCTGCATCCCCTGTAGGACTCCGACTCAGCCACCTGGACACTGCCGCCACGGCCTCCCTCCCACAGAGGCAGGAGGAATGATGGGTGTCACCAGCCTTGGCTTCTCTTACCCTGGAGATGGAGAGTGGCATGCTGAAATCCTTCCCTCCCTGCAGCCTGAAGCCCCAGGGTGCCGGCCCATTCAGCATCACTTTGTAGGACTCCATGTCGCCCATCTCTGCAAGGGAAGAGGGTGTGATCCTGGCATTAGGATACATGGGAACAATGCAGGGAGAGCAGCCGAGGAGGGGGCCCAGCACTTGGCAGGGCAGGACAGAAGGAGGCAGGTCACATTTCCAGCTGCAACTCCACCCTGACCATCCTACACTGTGGTTAGAGACGCACCCCAAATCCATCAGCATCTCCTCCAGCAACGTCAGAGCTGAGGGGCCCAGGCTAACACTGACTAGTGCCAGAGAGCCAGACACAGCCCTGCTGCCACCCACAGTGGAGTGTCTGTGGGCTTCGCTCTCCTCCCAAACCTGGGATGTGCTCTCCCTTGCAGCACCCCAGCAACTCACACTGCTGAGAGCCAAGGCTGTTTAGACCGCAGAGAAGCAATAGCAGGTATGGAAGGATATGAACCAGAAGCGATTTTGCCGGATGAATTAGCAGCAGCAGCAGCGCAGGAGCTGCGTGCTGCCACCCGAGGTGCCTGGCAGAGCAGCCAGGCTGGCACTCCAGCAGCCGGCTGAGCAGATGCTCCCTGGGAGTGAGCCCATCTCCAGGGCTTCGGCGGGAGGGAATCCCAGCGCTCCCCTGCCTGACAGCTGTCAGCCGGCCAAGGCTCCGGGCAAATGGGCCGGCACCAGCCTCTTGCCACCCCTCACCTGGATGGAGCCGCCAGACCTCCGCAAAACGCCCCAGGACCTTCCTGCCGGGGTGGAGCGGGGCCAGCTGCGGGACTCCCGCGCCCAGCACAGGCCGGCGGGGCGGCTGCAAGGCCGGGGGCCAGCGTGCCCCCGCTCTCCCCGGGCCGGTGCGGGCTATATAAGGCGTGTAAGACGACACCAGCCCGCTCCCCGCTCGGGAGGGCCGGGGGAAGAGCTGCGTGTCAGGCATTCCCGGCGCCCGGCAGCCGCGCAAGCTCCAGCGAGGCGCCGGGACGGGGCGGACACCCCGCACCCCTCCCGGCAGGACCGGGCTCGGCCGGACTGGGGGTCCCCAGCGCGCACAGCCTGGGCAGCCCCTCCGACTGCTGGGGAGCCCCCTCTGCCCCGCAGGGGGCCACGCGACCCCTCCCTATCGCACAGCACCACCCCTCCCCGGGGTCGGGGCCGCCGGCTCTGCCCCGCACGGGCCCGACCCCGATCACCCGCCTTCTCCCCGACCCAGGCCCCAGTCCTCCACCTCTTGCGTCCCCATCTCCCCCGCAGGGCACGGAGCCCCCCACCGTGCCCAGGCTCCCCGTAGACCCCACTCACCCGCGGCCGGGGGGAGCCGGCGGAGCGGGCGAGGAGCGGCGCCGAACGGATCAGACGGACTCGGGACTCGAACCCGGGCACCGCCCCCGCCCGGCCCGGACCCGCCTTATGTAGCACCGGGACGGGGCGGGGCCGGTGGGCGGCTCCGCCAATCAGCGCGCTCGCCTCTGCCCGGCAGGGCGGGCACGGCGGCGCCCCCTGGCGGAGAGGCGAGAGCTGCCCCCCCCCCGCAGCAGCGGCGGAGCCGGGTCCGGGCAGAGCCTTTATTGACCGAACGGCACCGACCGCATCAGGCCCAGTCCCGCGCCCCGGCGCTCTCCCGGCTCAGCAGCCGCACCAGCTTAGCCCGGAGGGTGTTATGAGGCTTGTGCCTGGAGCGCCCCAGCAGTGGCTCCTGCCCCCCGCGCCCCCAGCCTGCGGCCCCGGGGGGCTGTGCCAGGGCAACCCGGTTGTCATAGATGGGGCCCCCCTCGCTGCTGTGGCCCTCAGGGGCCTGTCGGCACCCCAGCTCCCACTGCCCTTCCTCCTCCTCTTCCTGTGTCCCGACTGGAAGCTGTTCTGCGGTGAAGATGTTCTCGTAGAGGTGCTCAGGGAGCGGCTTCCCTGCGGCCCAGGGCTCACAAGAGCCCGGCTGCCCTGGCACAAAGAGGGGCTGGTGGCCCCGGGCGATGGAGGCATAGACGATGGGGCACGAGCCCTCTGGCTCTGGCGGGGTGAAGCAGAGGAGGCTGGCAGGGGCATTGGAGGCAGGCTGTGCCCCCCCCAGGGCTGGGCTGGGCTGGGGGTCCTCTGTCCCAGGGCCCCAGGGTTGGGGTTCAAGGCCCTGTGCAGACAGCTGGGGGTCTGGGACACAGAAGAGCCTGGGGTCCGGGGTGTCCTTGCCCTGCTGCTGGCAGGCAATGGCAGCAGCCACAGCCCGGCAGAGCTCAGGGGCCCGCGGGGTGCTGAAGGTGAAGGTGCCCTCGCCGGAGTCACTGCGGCGACCAGCCTCGAATGAGAAGACAGCCTGCAGGGCCAGAGGGGAGAGTGAGGGGCTGGCACCCACCTTGGGGAGCCAGCAGCCCCAAGGAGGGAGCAGGGGACTCACCTGATCCTGGCCAAACTTGCGGAGGAAGGGGTAGGGCCAGGTAAGCAGGGGCTGGCGGGACTGCAGGTCCTTCAGTGTCAGGCTCTGGGGAAGGGCTGAGAGCAGGTACTGCCCGTGCAGGCCACAGCGAGTGGACGCATCCGTCTGGACCACCAGCACCAGGTATTCGGTCACTGCAGGAGCAGAACAAGGGAGGGGTCAGCACTGCAGCGCTGAACTGGACCCCATGCCAGCCCTATCCTGCACCCCTGCACGTACAGTCCTGCCAGGAAGAGTAGAGGGAGTTCTCCTCCATGGGGACAGAGGGGCTGAGCTGGGTCCTGGCACTACTTGGCACCATCTCTTTTGCACCCTGAAACAGAGGAACGTGAGCATGGTCTGGGACAGCGGGGAGCACAAGTTCCCTGCTGGCCCTGGAGCCCCCCAGTTCACCCAAGCAGGAACAACACAAGGGCTCCTGCCTCTGCCAGACCCTGCAGTACCTGGAAGGCCAGCTGGCAGAGCTGGGCAATCCACTCATCCCGCTGCTCAGCCGCCAGCACATAGCTCTTCTCCGTGGTGGTGAGGTAGAAGGCGGAGGTGGCTTTGGGGCAGCTCTCTGTGCCCGCTGGGCCCACAGAGACACAGTCTGAGAGGCGGATTACCCGGCGGGCACAGCGCTGCAGAGGCATCTTCTCCGAGGCTGTGCCATCATCCCGCACGTCGAACTTCTCCATGCGGGCCACACCGGAGGGGCTGGCAGCAAACAGCTGGGCTCGCATCTTCCTCCAGGACCTCTAAGGCACAGGAGGGGCACAGGCACGGAAAAAACGGGTCAGCAAGGAGCTGTCTGCTGCATCCTGGCAGTGCTGCACTCCATGTGGGGCCAGCAGCGCTTGGAAGGAGCTGTATGGGGCAGGAGGCATCCCAGCCTGCACCTGCCAGGTGCTGTGAGAGGTCTTGGAGAGCTGGGGACAGTGAAGACCTCCAAACTGTGAGGCAGGGCAGTCCTAAAGCTGGGTCGAAGGAGGCCTTGCCCCAGGCAGGCTTGGCATGTCTCGCTGGGTGACTCATGCTCACTCCTGGCTCCCTGAGCACCAGGTCCTGCTCTTTGTTCCCTGCTGCAAGTGCTGGCCTGCCACCACTGCAGCTGAGCTCGAGCTGTTCTCAGGACAGACCCTGATGCAAATTAAAGCCATTTTGAGCTACTGGGGCTCCTGCTGGCAGCCTCACATCTGCTGAGCAGCCCGCTTCCTCCCAGGGGAGCCTCTGCAGCACCAGCACCTTCCCAGCCTGTCATGGGATAGCGGGGGCGCGTGTCCCCATGCGCTTCAAAAGTGCAGCAGAGCCTCCGCCCTGAAGGAACCAGATGCAGCCAAACACCCAAAATACCCACCGCCCCCAGCCCACCTGTCTCCTACACGGCAAGGCACTGGCCCCATGCACACAGGGCCGGCTACCTGCTGCGCTTCCAGGGCTTGGCTCTCACTTAGCAGGGAGGTCAGAGAGTGACTGCAGCCCCATACATCAACTGAGACCCCCATGGGACCCCACCATGGCACAGCCAGTGTGACAGCAGGACCTTCTTTGCCAACACACAACAGTTCCCTGGAGTTGGCCCAAACCCAGGGACTCCTACCATGTCACCCATACCCTGCCCCGAGGGCTACGGCTCTCAGTGCCCACCCCAAGGGTTCACAGGAGCAGCCCAAGCCATGAGGGTGTCCCATGGATGCTGCTGGCCCCCGGGCCAGGCGGATGGAGAGCTGGGTGCAGGGCCACATCCCACGTGCTGCTCTGGGGCTCCCACACACACACACTGGAACTGTGCTGCAGTAACACGTTTATTGTTCCAACTGCAACTCGCGCGGTGACCAAGCGAGAAGAGGGACCCTGTGTAGGGGTGAGCCCAAGTGTGTGCCCGCATGGATGAGTCCCCTTGGCCGCAGAAAGAGGCCCACTCCTGGGGCTGCAGGGCCCAGGGCTCCCCCCTGGAAGGGGAAGTTCTCCCCAGGGCTGTTCTGAGGGGTCTGACTCCAGTCCCCCCTTCCCAGGCTGCTGAGGGCCTGGCCTCAGGGCTGGCATCACCAGATCACGGCAAACCCTCTACAAGCCCCAAATTCACCCTTTACCTTTCCAAATTTGCAGTGCTGCACATAGAGGATCCCATCCTTCACTGGTCTCTCCATGGCCCCAGTCCACCCTGGCCAGCGCAAGGACCAGGGACTTGGGCTACCCGCAGCGGAGAAAATGTGACTGCCGCAGCCGAAGGAAGGGCATGGGGCAGACTTCCTTCTCAGCGACTTCCCCTTTTAGGGGTGTGGGATGGGGGGCAGAGGCTGGGCCACAGGAGGTGTCCGTGTGCCCGCCCTCCCCCTTGCAGGGCAGTGGGGCAGAACGTGGGGGCAGAGCACAGGAAGCAGCTCCGGGAGCGCCCAACATGAGTGCAGCATGTGCCGCCTCACCCCGGCTGCATCCCAGCAAGTCTGGGGATGCAGAAACAGCCACCCACTGAGGATGGAAAAAAACAGGTAAGGGGGGCAGACACGGAGAAATTGAGGAGCTCTGAAGAGGAGCAATGTAAGACCCTGGTGCTGCCACTGCAGGGGGCTGGCAGGGGCAGCAGGCAACTGGTCACAGACAAGTTGCCCCACCTGGGGTTCCTCTTGCCCTCAGGCACCGCTACCTGCTTGCCCAACATGCCGCTGCTGATGTAATGGGCTGTTGCAGCACAGCTCCACACATTTCCTCCTGGGGCAGGAGCTTCATCAGGCTGAGCTGGCAACAGTCCCAGTGGCCAAAAGCATGGAAAAGGGGCCATAGGAGTGCAAGAGACGCCGCTGGGCTGAAAAGAAGCCCAGGCCTGTGGCAGGGGGGGAATGAGGGACAGCACACCTCCCCAGGCTAGAAGTCCATGGAGCTGTGGGCCAGGTAGTCCTTGCGGCCGATGTTGCTGACTTGCTTGGTCTGCATGGCCTCCAGCTTGGGGCAGTCAGTGATGCGATGGCCCAGGCCACCACAGAAAGCACAGCCCCGCTCACCTGCAATGGGAGGGAGGAGGTTAAGAGGAGCTGTGCCATGCACAGCAGCTCCCCACCCCAGAGCAGAGGGGCTACACCAGTGTCTCCCCAGTGCTGTGGCATCAGGCTGCCTGCATGGCCAGGCAGAAACTGCCTTGGGAGCTTGGAGTCTTGTCTGCAGACCAGGGGGGTCCCTGTGCCAGCCTGGAGTCTCTCACCATTGATGTCCAGCATGGTCTCATCCCCACAGTGCAGCACCTGGAGCACAGGGGGCACCTTCTGCTTTGCCTCCAGGAGCAGGGCCTTCAGGTCCATCAGCACTGACTCATCTGAATGCAGAGACACAAGTCAGGCACAGCCCAAGCAGAGGTGGGAGCACTGCCTAGTGCCACCATCTCTCCCTCCTCCAGCCATCCTGCTTGCTCAGAACGCCCCCCTTGCCACTGCCCAGGTGTCTCCTACAGCCACAGCCCCCATCCCCTGGCTGTTCCTCACCGCAAGCCTTGTTGATGAAGGTGGTGGCAATGCCAGTGTTGCCTGAACGGCCTGTACGCCCAATCCGGTGAACTGTGGGGACAGAGGCAAGATCAGGACCAGGTGAGTGCAGTGAGATCATCCCTGCCCCCAGACCCTGCAGAGACAAGTGCAGAGCCTTGCTGACTTCTGCAACCCCTCATGGTCCCTGTGGGGCCCAGTGCCCACCATAGTTCTCAATCTCCTCTGGCATGTCGTAGTTGATCACGTGCTGGATGGCTGGGAAGTCCAGACCCTTAGAAGCAACATCAGTTGCAACCAGGACATCCTTCTTCCCATCCCGGAAGGCCTCGATGGCTTTTGTCCGTTCTTCCTGATCTGCAAAGGCCCAGCACAGAAGATCAGCAAGGGCAGCACTCCCAGCCCAACCTATTGCAGCAACTACTATGGGCTCAGAGCTCAACTGGGGCTCCCCCAGGCAGCCTTTCCCCAAACAAAGGAGTAGAGGGACCTCTGTGTCCCATAGAGACCTGCACTGGGTTTATGCCTGCTATGTGCAACAAGGAGTTCATTCCTGACACTGCCACAGCCCTCTCTCACACCATCACCAACACTGGGACCTCCCATGACCACACGCATCCCTGGAGGAGGGGGGTCACACCACAGCGAGCCTCCCTGGGACCCTCACTGACCTTTCCCTCCATGGATGGCCACAGCTTCCACGCCCTTAAGCAGCAGGTACTCATGGATCGCATCAACATCTGCCTTCTTCTCTGCGAAGATCAGCACCTGCAGCAGCACAGACATCACGAAGAGCTGCCTTTCTGTGGGCTAGCACTGCTGGCACCAGCACAGAGCCCTGGAAAGCCCTACTGAGCAGAGCACAGAGCAGGGCTGGTCCCTGCTCATACGTGGAGCGTGGCTCACTCACATGCCCACCCCTCACATGGGGTCCCCCTGCCAGCTCACCCTGTCCCCCAGGGCTGCGGTGTGACCACTGCCCCCAGTTCACTACTCACAGGAGGAGGGGTCTTCTGCAGGCACTCCAGCAGGTACACCATCTTGGCCTCCTCTTTCACATACTCTACCTCCTAGGTACAAGCACAGGGATGGGTTAGGCAGCAGAGGAACTGCCACTGTTTGGTATCCCTTAGCTGACTGGGAAAAAGGGCCATGGACCCCAGCTCCCTGGCAGAGGGAGGCATCAAACACCCTCATGAATGGTGCTGGTCTCCCACACAGGCAGGGGGCAGAACTCAAACACCTCACTTGCACAACGTCCAGGCTGGCAGCACCTGCTCGCCCAACGTTGATAGTGATGGGCTTCACCAGGGCACTCTTGGCAAAGTTCTGGATCTTCTTGGGCATTGTGGCACTGAAGAGAAGGGTTTGCCGCTGGCCCTGCACAGGGAACAAGGATTTAGCACTCCCCTAACCTGGTAGGTGAAGGGATTGAGCTTCAAGGTGCAGTTCAGCACCTTGAAGTAGGAGAAGATGGTCCGGATGTCCCCCTCGAAGCCCATGTCGATCATCCTGTCAGCCTCATCCAGGGCCAGGTACCGGCAGATGTCCAGGCTCACCATCTTCTTCTGCAGCAGGTCCATCAGGCGCCCAGGGGTTGCCACCATCATGTGCACCCCACTGAGGGATGAGAGGAGGCCACAGTCAGGCAAGAATTCCTGCCCCATGCAGGACACAGAGGGAAGGCAACACCTTCCTGGCACATCACCTTCTCCCCCGCGCTGTCCTGAAGCCAGGGTGCCACCCCTCAGGCCCCTGACAGAACTCCGGCCCCATGTATTCCCCCAGAAAGTCTTACTGCTTGATGGTCTCCATCTGTTCCTTGACGGACATGCCCCCGATGCAGAGGGCGCAGCGCAGGGGGGGCAGCCCGTCCTCCTGCAGCAGGCGGCAGTAGTACTCCAGGATGCCGTGGGTCTGCCGGGCCAGCTCCCGCTGCAGACACAAAACCAACTCATTTCTACACCTCTGTGCAGGCAGGACTGCCACTGCATGACAATCACAGCTTCCTCCCAGCACTCACCGATGGACAGATGATGAGTCCGTAGGGCCCCTCCCGCTTGGAGAATGGCAGCCTCTTCTCCTGCTCCAGGCAGAACATGATCACCGGGAGGGTGAACACCAAAGTCTTCCCAGAGCCAGTGAATGCAATGCCAATCATGTCCCTTCCCGAGAGGCTGCCAGGGAAACAGGACTTTTGAGCATCACAGAACAGCCCAAACTTCCAGGGCTGACCAAGGTGATGGGGTGCATCTGTCACCAACAGGAGCCCTCAGTCCACAACACGGGGTGGGCTGTAGGCAGCAAGTGGTCTGCACTCCGGGACGGGGACAGAGCACTCACATCGTGGGGATGCCTTGGATCTGTATGGGTGTTGGTTGCTGGATCCCTTTTTTCTTCAGGCCTCTCAGGATAGCTGTCAGAGAACAAGGGACACCCACACTCATGACCTGAACTTTTCCTCCTCTCCCCCTCCCACCCGTGTCCCAGCAGCAGCTTTTCCATCAGTGACAAACACCCCTCAGAGGAAAGCTGGGATCACTGCCAGGCTCCTCTCCCAGCCCACCTGCTGGGAACTTCATCTCCTTGAAGCTCTTGATGGGGGGTGGGATGCCCTCCCCCTCCACCAGGATGTGGTACTTCTTGCGCACGCGGTCGTGCCGCGCCTCTGACATGCCCAGGATGTAGCGAGGAGCTCTCCAGCTATGAAAGGAATAGAGACAGGTCACAGTGCAGAATGAGGCCAGGACTCCAGGGCCAGCAGCCCCCATGGAGGAATCCAGGGGAACTGCCTGTCAGGCTCCAATATCGCCCCAGGAATAACAGGGGCTCTGTGATGTGAGTGTGGGAGCAGATCCGAGTTCTGTGTGTTAAATATTCCCCCAAAGTCTCAGTGAGGAGGCCCAAGTTGACAGCTAAGAACAGGCTATGGATAAGGGATGGAACACGCCACAGACACACCTCAATAATCTCTGACACTACTTTAGAAACACTGAGGTTGGAAAAGATCTCTGAGATCCCCAAGTCCAACCTTTGACTGACCACTGTCTTAACGACACTGTCTTGAGCAGCCCTGGCTCCCCGGCCTCTTCCTCTGCCTTAACAACCTCCCAGACCCGAAAATCCACCCTCAGGCCTTTAAGTTTAACAGAAATGTGCTTTGTCAAGCTTTACTGGACATAAAACAACATCCCAGGTGACTCAACAGCCTTCGATCTTACAGACAAAGGCACAAAGCCACTGGGGCAGGAGAAAAGCCAGCGGCCGAAGAGCAGCTCTGAGACTGTGCAGCTTCTGGTTCTCCACAGTCACAAGGAAGTGATGTTTTGGGAGAGACAACCCCTGTCCTGTGAGACTTACCTGGTTTTGATGGGGTCGTCGTAGGTGATGCCCTTGGCCATCTCCTTCACTGACATCAGAGCTGCAGGAACAGAGGTGAGGAGTCAGTGCAAACTCTCCAGATCAACAGTAACCTCACAGAGAGCTGCGTGGACAAACAGCCTGGCAGATCATGTTTGGAGACAGAGCAGGGCAGCAGCAGGCCCTGACAGCACCCCTGGGTACAGAACACAAGTGCCCAGGCTCCTCCCACAGCCACGTCTGTGCCAGGAGAGGGGGCCTGTTGTGACCTCCAGTCGCATCCGTGGGTATGAACATTCCCAAGGCAGGGAACAGCCCTGGCAGCTCTGGAGGCAGGTGTGACACAAAAAATTCCCACTCACCTCGGCCCTCAGCCACGCTCTCCAGGATCTTCTCTTCCTCCTTCAGCTGCTTCTCCTTGGCCGACTCCTTCCGAGCTGGTGGGAGTCCAGGGAACAGTGAGGGACTTTCATTGCCCCCTAAAGTTCCCCCAGTGCCCCCTGTCAGCTCCTCCCTTACCTTCCGCCTTCTCTTTGAGGTGCTGGTGCTGGTCCAGCAGGCTGATATTGGACTGCGGCCCCAGCGGGATGTCATCCTCGTCCCCGCGCTGCTCGCTGCCGCTGTCCCGTTGCTCTTCCTCCGACACCACCTTCCGCCGCATCTGCAGCAGCTTCTGCAACTGGAAAGACGCGGGTCGATGCGAAGTGAGCGGCCCCACGCCGGGAGGGGCGCTCAGAGCCCTCCCCGGGCAGCCCCGTTACCCCGTTACCATCTGCTGCTTGCGCTGCTTGACGGGCACGTAGGGCACGTAGTCCTCATCATCCTCCCCGGACAGGTCGGACGTGTCCGCCGGCTCCTCGCGCTGCCTCTGTGGGGAGAGGCGCGGTGAGGGGGGCCCGGAACGGCCCCGGGAGCGCGGGGCGGGCGGTACCGGGGGCCGGGCCCTCTTCCACCTTCCGCTCCGCCACGGCCTCCATGGCGCCTTCCCGGAACCGATCGCAGAAGTGACGTCAACACGCGCAGCGCCGTCGCCTAGCAACGCGGGGAACGCGCCGCAGCGCGGGAGACGCGAGCCTGCCCGACGGGGCCCCGCGGCGGCCAAACTTGTGCAGCACGCGCTCTACACCCCTCTCGCCCCCGGCGCGGCAGAAAGCAGCAGACAGCGGTATTTAAATAAAATAAAAAATTAAAAAGTTCTTTATTGGGTCCAGCACGGTCCTTCCCCGCGGCACGGGGTAGCCGCGTGCCCGCAGAGAGGGGGACGGGACGGCCGGGGTCACCCCGCGGGGATGGGGCAGGAGGATGGAGGGAGCCCCGGGGGCCCCCGCGGGACAGGAGAGCACCGGGGCCCCCCGCAGAGGAGGGGACCCCACCGAGGTGAGGCGGGGGGCACAGTGAGGAGAGGCGAACGGCCGTGGGTGGGAGGGTCGGCCCCCCCGCACCTCACTGGGCTGCACTGGAAGTGGTTTTCTTCAGGGTGAAGTTGGTCCAGTTCACGGCCACCTTCTGCCGCGTCTGCTTGGCCGAGTCCAGGCAGAACCTGGCAGGGAGAGGACAACCCCGGTCACCTCCCAGCCCCTCTGTGACACCAGCCCCTGTGTGACCCCAACCCCTCGGGACCCCCAGCCTTGGTCACCCACCAGCCGCTCTAGTGCCCCCAGCCCTGCCAGTAGAGCTAATCTTCCCCCAGGGCTCCTCCCTCACCTCTTGAAATACTCCACTTCTCTGTCAGTCTCGTCCATCTCTGCCCCATCCAGGTCCTTGGGCAGGAACACATCATCTAGGGAAGCAGAGCAGAGGGTCAGCACTGCCAGTTGGGCAAAGGGCCCCCGTGAGGACGGTGGCGCAGGGCAGCGCTCCCGGCACTTACCAATCGAGGTACTGGATTTCTCCACCTTGTTCCGGCTCTTCCTGCTCTTGCCCTTGGGCTGGGGGGAGCCCCCCAGGGCGGGAGGGGCACTCGGGGTAGGCGTTTGAGGCTGTGCTGGCTCCGGCAGCTCCACTTTGCCCTCTCCCCTCCGGCCCTTCCACTCGCTGGGTCTCTCTTTCTCGGCCCTGGCACTCCCGCAGCCCCAGGGCTGCCCCTTGCTGCCCTCCCCAGGCTCGGCACAGCCACCCGCCCGCTGTGGCTCCAGGGCGCTGCCCTTGGAAGGGGGCTTGGTTCCCAGCACCTGCCCCTTCACCCCAGGGCTCTCCAGCCGGGCCTGGCCGCTGCCACCCTCCCCTTTCTTTGTCTGCCCGTTCTGCCGCTTGTTCTTGCGCTGCCGGCTCCCTGCGGGCACCGGCTCTGGTGGCTCCGGCCCCTTGGGCTGTGGTCCCTCCCTGGGCTCCGGGCTCAGCCCACTGCCATCCGTGGCAGAGTCCGCAGCCTTGGACTGCACCCAGATCATGCGGGACAGGCTGGGCACGGCGCTGAGCCGCTTCACCACACCGTTCTCGGCCGGTGGTGCCGGCAGGGGCTCCCCGGGCCCCTCGCCCCATCGGGGGCCCAGCTCGCTCCGCAGGAGCCCGTGGCTCTTGGCAGGGCCCAGGCTGAGCGGGGCCAGCGCCAGGTCTATGTCCTGCAGGTCAGAGGAGCCGTTGAGGTTGGAGAGCAGGTTTTTCTGCTCCAGGACAGCTGCCTTCTTGGGGAAGTCGTTGACATCCAGGTTGAGGTCGTAGACACTGAAACTGGCCCGGATGGAGTCCTTGATGGTATTCTTGATTTCCTGCAGCCGGCTGCTGAGGAAGCTGTTCACCCGCTCCAGCTCCAGCTCTGGCCACTCCAGTAGCTTCTCCTCAGCCTGCTCCCTGGCCTGGCTGGCTGCAGGGGCACGCTCTGCCCGCTTCTGGGCCTCTGCCTCCAGCTGGGCTTTCTCCTTCTCCTGCAACACAGGTGCCATGAGGATTGGCTGGGCTGGGCCACAGAACCACAGGCACAGGCCACGGAACTTTGCTCCAGCTCTGACAGCAATCCCAAGGGCTGCTGCTCAGCACAGCCACTCAAACTGTCACGTATCCCCCACGGGCACAGCAACAGCTGGACACTGCACACCAGCCACAGCTCTGGGCATGAGGCACCAGCAAAAGCCACCAGGGCACTGCCTCTCTCCACGATAGATACATGGTGTCAGAGATGTGGCACAGAGCAGGTAGGACACTGCAGTCCAAAGTGCCCAGGAGGGCTGGGCCACCCTCTGCAGGAACAGAGGCAGGGGAAGCCCTGCACAGGGCCAGGCACTGCTGTCACCTTAGGGGAGAGGGACATGGAGTTCAAGAAACCAAATGGATGAGAGGGAAAGAAGGTAAAGCCCAGCAAGGGGCGCAGCCCAGCACCCACCCAGCCTCACCTTCTTCTTCTGCTTGTGCCGTGCCCGCTTGGCCGCCTTGGCACTGTTCAAGGGCTTGGGCTCCGTGCTGTTGATGTAGTCCAGCAGCTCATCCACATTGCGGTGGTCCACAGCAGGCTCCCCCGAGCTGCTGTTGTGCCCCAGTTTCTGTGGCAGCTCCTCTTTCCTCTTGGTGAGGCGCGAGCGCAGCTTCTCCCGGATCTCGGCATAGTTGCGGCTCGTGGGAGCGGCCGGGGGCTGCGGGAGGGGAGTGCTGTCAGCCGGGGCAGGAACAGGAGGTGCAGCCAGCCCCAGCTCCCCCACCTGCCCCCACGACCTCCCCAGCCACTCCCTTCCTCACAGTCTCAGTGAGACAAGTCAGCACAGCCCCAGTGAGCTCTTCCAGCGTGAAGCCACAGGGCTTGGCCGGCCGCTCTGAGCCCTGGGGCTGGGCAGGCGGCTGCGAGTCGGGAGCAAGCGACCAGCGGGCTGATGAGGCAGCATGGAAACAAAGTAGGGGATGCACACGCCCGCAGGAAAACAGCCATGGCCAGACCTGCCCACCTCCGTACTCTGGGCGCACGGACTGTGTGACGTCTCACCACGGGGCGCAGCGCGAGGACCGGGGGTGGCTGCAGACCAGCCCCTCACTCACCGCGTTGTGGCCGAAGAACTCACAGTAGCAGCAGTCGCAGAACTTCCCATCTTTCTGGTTGGTGGAGGAGGAGGTGCAGGAACTGCGCTCCGAGCTGCTGTCCTCGTCCTCCCCGAGCCCCTCATCTGCCTCGCAGGGCTGTGGCGGGTGGCAGCTGGTACCGTTTGGGAATTTGTGCCCTTTGCAAGAAGGGTCCCTGAGAAGAAGGGGAGAAGGGTGAGAGGTGAGCAGGAGCCAAGGGGGGTCTCAAAAATTGCCCCACGCTACACGTGTAGGAACACCCCTCCCAGGGCAGCCTGTGCCCAGGCACAAGGATTTGTAGGGCAGACAAACCCCCTTCCCGCATCCTTCTCCTCCAGGGGAGATGCCAGAGGAGCCTGTGTCAGCAGACATCCGTAGCTCCTGGCCCCCAGGGCCTCTGGCAGGCAGGAGGCTGGCACAACAGAGCCCCAGCGAGCAGCATCTTGCCAGGCCCAGGGCTGGGAGCAGGGCAGGGACTGGTACTCACTGGGGGCAGGTAGCACAGGTGAGGAACACTGGGATTGCGTGCAGCTGCCAGACATCCCCACATGCAGGCAGGCCCAGCTCCCACAGGCACAGGCTGCCCAGCTCAGAGACAGGGAGGCCAGGGCACGTCCCACAGTGCCATCCCTCGAGCTCCAGCTCAGGACATGGCTGGCTCTCCACAGGGAGAGCTAATCAGCGGAGAAGAACCAGCATGCTCTCTTCAGGGGCACAGACAGCCCAGAGAGGGCCAGGGGAACAGGCGAGCAGAACAAGTCCACAGGCTTCATCTTCTCAAGGACCTTTGCTCAGTGCCATAGCTGCCCGTCGGGTCTCACTGACAAAGGTCCTGTTGGCCAACAGCAGGTTGACCAGGCGGTTCCTTTGGGTCTTTCAGCTGGAGGAGGAGCAAGCACAGCCTCTTCTGCACCACGGAACCAAAGGACAACAGCAGACAGAACACACGTGGAGAGAGAAAGAGCTCGACCCTCAGAGACCAGGGGTCTGCAGCAGCGCAACTGGCCCGCAAAGACAGTGGCTCCCTGCACCACCATGCCAGGGCAGCCGGTCCCTCCACAGGGAAAAGTGCATCCATGGGCAACAGAGGAGACAAAAGGGCGCACGGCCCAGTGAGCAGATGCTGGGATCAGGCAGGGCTCCTCTACTCACCTGTTGGTGCTGGGCAGCTGGTGGGAGGTGGGAGGAGGGATGAGTGAAGTGCTGCAGTGCCCGTTGCAGGGATGGGTGCAGCCCGACAGTGGGGGCGGCATCTTCAGCAGCGGCACGTTGGCAGGGGGCAGGTGGGGGCTCTTGCACGGCCCTGGGCTGTGAGAGGCCGTGCCAGCCGGAGGGGACTCGGACATCGGCTTTGGGGCTGCAGCCTGGGCACTGGCAGCAGGGAAGAGCGTGGCCTGCGAGGAGGAGCCCAGCGGGACGTGCGGCGGGGAGCCGAAGGGCCCCGGGTGTGGAGGTGTCTGCTTGGAGGGGATCAGCACCGGTGGCTGGGAGGGGAGGCCAGTGGGACTGTTGGGAGGAGCAGTGAGGTCGGAGTGCTGATGATGCTCTGAGGAGTGGAAGGCCTCACCTACAGAGGGGCAGGAACAGAGACAGTCAGACACTGGCTGGCTGTGTGGGCCAAGGCCCCGCTCGGAGCCACCCACTGCCTTTCCACAGCCACTTCTCGGTGGGACAAACCCTGCCTCCCCCACAGGCAGCGCAGTGCTCGGGACAGAAGCCATCCCTGCTTGCACGAGGCCTCAAGGTCACTATGCCTCCCCTGCAGGATTCAGCCATGCCCCACAAGGAGCAGGACAAGGGGAAACGCTCTGGAGCAGCAGGCTAGGAGACTGTGGCTGGCCCTGTCCCTGGGAACGCACCTGGTGGGGTGGCCCTCCGGCACAAGCTTTTGAACTGCTTCGGCAGCGTCTTGCAGAAGTCGAGTGAGGTAGGCAGAGGCGAGCCCGGGGCGGCACTGCTGGAGGTGGTGGAGGCCGCGTGGCTGTAGGGACAGGCCTTGAGCCCCGGCGCTACAGCTGGTGCCTGGCTGGCACACTCTGCAGACAGAGCGAGGCCGGGGTGCTTGTCGCCTGGAAGGAA